GATTTTACATGTTCCTTTTATTTCTCCAAGTACAAGGAATTCAGACCTTATGGGGTCAAATTAATGCATCCTATCACTTGCTTATTGATATGTTTTTATTCTTTGAACAAGAAAAAGGAAAAAGAGCTTCTAGTCTTTATAAGATCGCTGCAGCTATTGGGTTATCTATTGATTTAACATCGATCATAAAAAGATACCACCTTTCTTTTGGTAAAGGCGATCAACAAAAATCATACAGCAGTATTCTTGTTCAACATATATATATTGAGAATCTACATGTTCCAATTCTTTGCACGCTATCATCAAGGCATGATTATCCTCTTGTCAAAAAGTAGGATCAATTGCTTTTCCACCCCACATGTTAACTTTTTCATCTCACTACCTCTTGACCTTGGCATTGAATTATTTTTAATTTCTTTACTACGTATAGTGAGGAGAAAATATTGATAAGTACCAATCAACGGTACAAGTTCGGATATGAACAGAGATCCTGCAATTCAATGAAACTGATAGTGTGTTGTATTAGATTCTTACAGTAGATACAACTACAACATCAGAGTTTTGGTTTGCTAGTTATGGATGCTAAGTATCAATAGTATACCCTTCAATTTACATATTAATGTCCGCATGATAACACAACTAGTGCCAATACTGCAGATACTCATTTCTCCACAGAAGAAAATTTCAAGTGAAGCAGAAGAAGATATACATACCCATACCATACGCGTGCAAATGAAAGAGCGAGAGCAGCAACAGAAGGAAATTCAACTCACAAGTTGATTCAACTGCCATCTGCTGGCACCACCCGCTCCTCTCAGATGTGCCACACGTGACATTAAAATTGAAAATGCAAAACTGAAATGAGAGAAAAAGAAGGGAATAATTTACAGCATATATCCATGATTTAATGAGAATTTAAACATGAGATCATTGACTCATCAGCTAGCAATAGCACAATCTGTACCAATCTCAATTGTTTGAATTTCTACAAGGTTGCACCTCAAAAGATTTCTGAGCTGATGTTTAGTGATACTGCACCTCAAGTTGGAACATAGCTCAAGAGTTTCACAAGTCCTTTGGTCAACTTTAGATCACTAAGTAAGACTTATGTTAATTGTTTAAGCTACCATAAGATGGGAATATACACCCAAGATGACTTTTTGTACTGTCAACGAACACCGCGGTTAAGCATCCCTTGGAATGATAGATAGAGATCCTTGTTATCCGTTCCAAAAATCTCTTCTGCTTTTTTCAAAGTTTCCTAAAATAATACAATGTGCAAAAAGAAAAAGCAGAAAAGCATTTAGATATTGAACTAAGCAAATACAAGGTAATCATAGGACAGTCTAATAACTAAGATTATATTCATCACCTCACGAGATTGCTTTTGAGCATTTAGTTCCTTTATGTTTGCTAGAAACGCACTGAACTGCTCATAAGACAGACGACTCCTGAATCAACACATGCTGATCATCAGGAGAAAGATCGTTTACTCGGATGAATTAAAAAGAACAAAAGTCAAAAAATTAGATACCTGGCTTGACGGAAGAACTCCTTCCCATCAGCTCGAGGAGTTTGAGCTTAAAATTCACATACATGAACTAATTAGTAATACAACAATTTGTCCAAATGGAAACAACATCAGCTAGAAAAGGTAGTCGAATGTTTGTTACACACGTATAGAATCATTTTTACACTTGAGCAAAATCGTGTATATAGTGTAAATATTGGAGTCAACACAACTTTGCATCTCATATAAAGAATGACTCTCTATGTGTGTAATGACAGAAGTGCAGATCTACAGCAGTAACATTTGTATAAGCTTATACAAGGAAATTGGAAAGAAAAAAGATAGCTCTTGGAAACCTGGTTTCGGCCGTGCCCTTGGAGGTGAGTTAGCTGCTGAGGACTGTTGACTCGAAGGATAGAATGATGACATTGAAACTCGGCGTTGAAATTGAGGAATTGTTGGAGAGGTACTGCCAGATGTCCTCCGAGGAGATACTGCAGCAGAACATCGTCTGGGGGAAACACTAGCAGAGGTTATTTTTGGTGTGTCACTTGGAGTAAGCAGTGGTGTTATGTAAGGGCTGGAAAACCTTTGCAAAGAGTGATTTGAAGCTGGATCCAAGAAAAAAGATATAATAATTACACAGCTTTCACAACATTCTAATATTCTCATGTAAGAACATGTAAAGTCAATACCATCACCATTACTTCCTCTTCCGTCTACAGAACCACTGAAAGAATGATGCACTGTGTAGCTATTCACCTCCTCTGCAAGATAGAATTATCAAAATCAAACTCAGAACATGAGGTCTCCATAGCTTGAAACAGCTAAAGTTACATGATATCTGGAACATGAAAAGCAAACAAAATTCAAAGGACTTAAAATGTCAATGGTGAAACTACCTTTTAAAGGATATGACTTATGAATAGATTGATCATAAATGCCAATATCAACAGTTTCAGCTTGCTGCCATGGTGAAAAAAGAAAAGATCATCACAGTCGATAAAAGAAAAGAAGAAAATTCTTGAAGGGAAACAAAACTTCTAAAAAGAAGAGATTGAGCCTCATGTTTTTGTACTGTCCTACAAGTCAAATGGAAATCAAGTTCATTCTTGTTTAGAATATTACAGATTATACCCAAATTTTCTTTTTGCAAGTGCTGGTGACCTTCTAATAATACTCTCAAAAGAAATGCCAAAAAATGAATATTATGAAACTTACAGATGAGTCATCATCACTCAAAGACTGCACCAATTGCCTTTTAAAAGTCTCCAACTGTTTAAACAAAAAAGGAAGTAAGTTTATGCAGTTGAAATGAAAATAGAAGATGAATTAGACTATGAGATTTCCACTTTCAATATTCTTTCATTAGAAGGATGACAAGAATACTGTCCAATACCAGGAAAAAAGCACTGTGAAGGAACCGAAAGTATATAAAGCAGAAAACATAAGTCTCTGCTTTTAAATTTTTTAACACTTCACATTCGCTGGCAGTATTTAGCAAGTATAATAACAATTTTAGTTGAAATAAAGGGAAAGGATTCTTCTCTTCCATGTGTATTATAAATGTCACTAATGGTAAATTCACAAACTGTGTGCTTATTTTTAGCATTGTCATCAGCCATCCAGGAAAAGTAAATCATCATGAAATGAGCTCTACTTCAAACATTTAAATGAACTTATTAGCAAGCAGTTTACTTGTTTGTATTCCATATAACACAAGAGCAAATTAATTCAACTGCTGAAGTTCTTCATTTGCATCCCAAGAACAAAATGAAGCATGGATGCCTCCCCTCCCCCTCCTGCTCCCCAAAAATTATCTCAGGTTTATAAATTGACACCAAGAACATGTTAAACCAAATGTGTGAAGGGACATGTAGTCAAGCATTTAATTTTGCATGATTTTTCCAAATCAACTAAGCAAGTAGCAAACGTTCTGTTTCATTGCAATCCCAGACACATCCACAGATGTTAAAAATGGTGTTTTTTTCCCTTCAAGATTTTTTATGATGGTCAGCATAAGTAATACTACATCTAGTTTCCAGAGACTTAGCCTAGTAAGAGTTACTTTAATATTACAAGAAAAAGAACATCTGTTTCACTAGCCTTGCTGGTGAATTGATCATCTAAATCAGCAATTGAAAGTAACCCTCAAAAGTTTTTCAAAAAAATAGACCAGAATAAGCTTAGAAAGGCTAGAGCATAAACAGATAAATAAAAACCATGATTCATGAGAGAGTATTCCAACAATTGACCAGGAGAAGTCAAAAAAATAATAATAATTGAAGAAAAGTATTAACCTTTGCTAAGTCGCGACCAAGCTTCTTTGCAGTAAAAGCCAGATTATCTCTCTCCTTCGACAGTTTCATCTTTTAATTCCCAAAAAAAAAAAAGATTAATTTATTCTTTTGTTAAAAAAAAAGAAAAAGATTAATTCCCTTTAAATGGAAATGAAAAGCAAAAGCAAAAGAAGTGATTTTTGCAGAAATACATTATCTTGGAGAGTGATGTTCAATCGCAATTCGGCCTGGTGACAGGCCTGTTCGAGCTGAGAGACCTTATCCTCGAGGTCGAGGATGACGCGATCCTTTCCGTTAAGCTTCTGTCGGAGCCTGTCCATCTCAGACTCCAGGCTTGTAACGCGAGAAGCGATTGCCATGGAGGTGATCTTCCGGGCAAGGTCCAATTGGTCATATGGGTCCGTCGGAATAACAGAAAGCATTTCATCGGAAAGGTGAAAATCCGGGCCGGCATTCCGTCTGCTTTCGATGATGCTGTTCTCCGACATCTCCAGAATTTCCAAACCCTAATTTCTGAAAATTGAAGAGAAATGGGGTTTGGAAATGGAGGAATGTGTGTGAGCTAGGCACGACGACGATGCTTTTTCTTTTTTGTTTTTGTTTCCAAAAAGGATCTATCTGCGGTGGGTTTGAATTTTAATTGGGTTTCCCTCCAAAGGTTTGGGGTCTTTTTCTGTTTGGGCCCCCAGTCCATGTCTTTCTATTACACTAGAAAACAAATATATACTGACTTTTGGCTAAATTTAGTAACAAAGGGCGGGCTACTGCTACTATATTAGTAAACTATTAGGTTAGACCTTGTATTTGTCGTAAAAAATAAAAACTATTTCTATTATGTGTATATATGTACTTGTGAATTTAGTAACTAAAACGAGCTATGAATCATGCATAAGTTTGATATCATTAACTTTGAATTCTAATTTTAACTTTGTCTAAACAAGAAGTTTGTGTACTTGAACTTTATCTCTAAATAGATAAATAAGGGTAAAGTTGCAATCAAACCTTAATTTCAAATGTTACAATTAGTTTCATTAACGTACTTTGAACTTCATCCCAAAAAAAAGGGGATTAGAAACCAAAGGTGACTGCAGATATTATTAGTACTTAATTTAATTTGGGGGGATTATGATTCTTTATCAATACAAAATATGCTTTGCTAATGTAAAAAGATACAACACAACCCCAAAAAGAAGAAGAAAGGTATGTTCCTCTTCTCATTGATTTAACGGAGAAACACACTGTTGGTGGTCTCACAATTCATTCATTCAACAGAATCATGCATCCAAAGACGTAAATCTACAATGTTCCACCAAAGAGAATTGTACAGCCAGCAGCCTGGACACCAGTTTTCCGGAATGGAAAACAATCAAAACAGCACTAGAGTCATAGTAACACTGCCAGAACCATCTCACTCTGGCAGATGATATCCCAGTTTTTGTTGCTCTCTCACTTCATATAAAATGTACATTGTTTATATGCTCACAAGTATAAGGTTTATATGCTCACAAGTACAAGGAACTATCAACATGAGCCAGAGCTTCCACGTGATGCTGAATGAAACAAAGTTAGCATCATTTCGAAGCCCAATAGACTTTCAGATCTCTTCATATGAAACAACAAAGAATTGTATGGCCCAATTTGCATTAAATACTTTCTTCGTCTTACTTAACAGCTCGCACACCAATAGTTTTGACACGGAATCTATACTGAGGTTGAGAATCATCGTCATCATCATCATCATCGTCATCTTCACTAGACTCATCTTCAACCCTATCCCATCTAGAATAGTCAAGCCGTGAATGTCCTTTTGGCTGTGGGATTGCTTCCCAGCTAGACGACTGTTGTTCAGACGATTCCATTTTTGGAACATCACTGACTTCAGTTGTCTGTTTGACACTTCCAGACTCGGCTTTTATTGTGGTTACTTCCACAACATCTCTTTTGTCTTCTCCTACATCAACTTCATTGGTTTCTCTATTTGTACATTGTTCTTCCCAATCTACCTTTAAGTCATCATCTTCGTCAAGCTCTGCTTCATCTTCAGGTATTGGAGCAAGTGACTTTCCTTGAACAAAAGAAGAAGCATCTCTAAATTACCATCTATGAAAAGGGTCAGATAGACAAGGAAAACAATCTCGTTTACTTTGAACACTTTTGGCACAGAAATGAAGAATCATGAAACCACTACTCTATATGAGCACATAAATTCGACTATATGGTGACTCAATTACAAAGGAGGAAACAAAATCAGAATGTAATGAGAGTCAATTCATTTGCTTGACCAATGTATGCCAAAAGTCCGTCCTAATTTGGTTGATGTTGATTTCCCCTAAGAATTAGCAAAGATATGGTAAATGCTTTAACTATGACATTTTGATTAAGTTAATGGTAGCATACGAATAGATTTTTGAAAAAAATATACATGAAAACTTTACTCCATCAAGCAGCACCATAATGTAAATAGAAAGAAACACGGGCCCATTATAGTTAAGCCATAGACAGAGCCGCAAAGGGTAGAGAGGAGTTGGTGAAAAAAGTAAACAAACATAAAAAGAAAACCCAAGAGAAAGGCAGAATGACTACCAATTGGGTCTTCAGACGGGCATGGAGGTTTTGATACACTTCTGATGATGGATTCAACTCAATTAACCTGTTGACATCGAAAAGTGCTGAATGGTACTCCTTGAGGGTGACTAAGGTTTGAGCGCGCAACATCAGCGCGCCTGTGTGTTTTTGATCAAGTTCAAGCACCAATGTACATTCATCTGCTGCCTGCAACATGATATAATAACCAACAGTAAGCTCAAAGACAGCACTGAACAGATAAATCCTCCCTCTTTTCTCTAATTTATCTTTCTTCAAACAATAACAAGAGGAACATACAGTATACTGCAGCAACACAAACTATAGCAACCAGGCATCATTTTTTTGATAAAATATGCTCAGAAAAAAGGCCATAAATATCTGACAAGAGACACGTTCAACGCTGTTGGAGTACTGTCCATTGTTAGGATCATCATCATCAACTGCTTCAAGTTTAACGGTTTACTAAAACTGAGACTGAGTGATCACTTCTTCTTCCGCTCACTCATATGCTTACTACATTATCGATAAAGGGAAAACCTAAAATAAAAAGAAATTGTTCAAGCTAACTTGGATATTTCTATTTGCTAATAGGAAACACTATATGCTAGTTTTAGTAATTAATGAACAAGTTATTCAAAAAAAATTGGCTGTATTCGGGTATCAAGCAAACCTTGGATACATAAAACTTCGCAGTTACCTAGTTATCAATTATGTACACAGCCTGGTCACTGAAAACAAATTACTAACATCCACTGGCGGAGCTACAGCCTTGGAAGGGTGGTCAGCTGAACACTCTTTGCAGGAAAATTATATTGTTTGTAGAGCTGAAATATCGTTTTTAACATACAATTATTCACTCTTGTACACTCTTGACACAACTGAGAGTGATAGCTCAGCGGCCAAGGGTGGTCTGACTTTCTAAAGAAGCACGGGTTCGATTCCTACAGCTATTATTTGTGTACATCTTTTTAAAAGTAAAATAGAACAAATAAGGTGAGTCGTTCACTAACTCTTGCTGCTTGTGCTGAGAAAATATACTCTCATATTAAATATTCTTCTTAACGGATTCTTGTGTTATTATTGCAAGAAGACAACGAGAAATATTTTATTGGTATCAAAAAAAGGGGAAAGTATTTTTCATTAAAAAGCTACTCCCTCTTTGTCAGTTTATGTGATATTTTTCGCTATTCAAGATTCAAACTATGTAAATTTTCACCAATATTTTAAAATGTTTTATTTTTATCATATTGATATGAGAAATATCATAACTTATAGTAATTTTTGTATAGTTAAAATATAGTGTTGATTTAATCCAACTTAGCTTCAAAGATTAGTCAACTTGACACTCGGAAAGCAAAATAGATCATATAATTTGAAACGGATGGAGTATTATCTATAGGCATCACAAAACTAAGCACAAAACATACTCTTTTATTTCATTATTCGAGATCTAACTCAACTTCAAAAGCTAGCTCATGAGGGGAGAACTTCTCAAGACCATATAAAGAGTCTAAATTCTCCTCATCCCACTGATGTGGGATTCAACACCCGCCTCACGCTTAGATTGGACACCTGGAGCGTGGACAAGTTATAAGGGGACCCAACATCGGTAAACCACAAATTGGAATGGGCCTAGCTCTGATATCACGTTAAATGGACCTTATAAAGAGTCCAAATTCTTCTCATCTCACCGATGTGGGACTCAACACTTATAATACAATTTGATCATTTTTTAGGCAATTTCGTAGTGCCTAATGTAATGAAGAGATATTTAGTATTGTTTCTAATGAGTTTATTATTTAAAAAAAATTCAAGATATGAAATCTTTTCGAGTAGAATTGAATAATTATTTGGAATATGCTTTCACTAGAATAATTTATTTCTTCTATTTTTAAGTTAGTTTTAATTTATAGGATTGTTAGTACCATAACAAGTGCTTTTATGACTTAGCTAAATATTATGTAGCTTCACTTAAAAATTCCGCGCCCATTCATGATTTTTCTTCTTTCATTTTTTAGTATTTACCTCTTCGAAGTTTGAACACCCTTCGCTAAAATCCTGGCTACGCCTCTACTAAAGTCCAATACAATATTCAGTTCATGATGTGCACATCAGTTAAGACCTTAAGCTACTCATCGAAGCCCGTGTATTTCGAGATATAAAGAGCCAACCAACAAGGAAAACCAAGGACCTAGAAAACCGAAAAAGATGATTCACTGATTTGCTATCTATGGGTGTAACTAATCAAAGAAAAAGAAAAGTTGATTTATTGATTTGGAACTTAAAGCTCAAGCAAGTAGGGTCAACATTAACTATAAAAAGGAAAAAGGATATCCCTTTTTGCTTCATTTGAACTATGTTATTGCTGAAAAGAGAAACTTTATAGTACATGATGAATTCAGTAAAAGATTGAATTTCATTTTAAAGCTATTTTCTAAAAGAGCAGCCATTTGTTACCAGGGCCATGGTTTCACAACACTATATCAGCTAGCAACTCGGAACCATTCGAAATGAGAAAGGTCAAAGCATCAAGTTCCAAGTTACAGAGCTCGAATTCAACAAATGTTTGATGTAATTATGGATGAAGATAAATAAAGATGTAACCTTTTTGAAATCGTGAAGTTTGAGGAAACAAGCAGCACGATTGCTGTGGAGAGCGATCTTTTGGGACTTTGTTTTAGCCAAAGAAAGAGCATCCGTATAAAAACCCAGAGCTTCGGCATATCTACCTTCCCTGTACATCTGGTGAGCTCTTTCGATCTTGTTGATGGTAGCTGATGAGGCCATGTGTTGTATGTATGTACCCTAATTCGAAGAAATTGAATCGAATAATACAGAAAACAGCAACTTGAATTTGAAAAATTGGGAGAATTGAGGTTGAAGAAAATGGAACAATCAGTCAGAGAAGGAAGTAATCGATCGGGGGCAAAGCAAATAGCGGAGCGGCAATGCGTGTATGAGCGGGAGCAAAGTTACGGGTCCACCCTTTTCCAAAATGCTTCCTCTTGTCCCGTCACTGGGAAAGGAAATAAAATAAAAAAGGAAAAGATCTGATTCCATTTCCCATATACTAGTACTAGTGTAGAACCATTTAATTTTGAATACTAATCACCAATAACATATTCAATTATTAATCTACTATATCCTTATTTTTATTCAACTAAATCTCTATCAAAGTAAAAAATGAGACAAATGACTAATATAATGTGTACTTCTGACAAGAAAAAAAAACTTACTTATACGGTTAATATTTACTCCAAACAATGAATATATAATTGATATTTTATACTATAGTTTTATCTTGTAATCACAATTAATTGAATATATGTAACATCATTTCAGTTTATCACTTTATCATAATAAACAAGTTCATAACCATTCGGTGATTGAATGTGTACTCACGTGATTAATCAAAGGACGGAAAAATTATTTAATTTTTGTAATTTAGTCGAGGGAGCTTGTCTAGTATCAAACTCTACAAGAGTTTTCTTCAAGCAAATAGTCTTACCTAAGAGAGTTTGTGACCATGAAAGATTTGATCCTTTATTAAACAAAACGGCAACAAAGAGTTCACTTCGATTCTCATCCAAAAAGTCACAAATATCTTCTTATGCAATATAGATGGCATTTTTAGCTTAGATATCTTTCTTTTTTTATGACAAGAAAAAATTCACAGCTACTATTCTTTGAATAGGCACAAAATAAGATATTTTTAGTTTAGATATCTTATACTATAAAACTAACTTTCCTCAAACATCAAAAGTTAAAATAATAATGGAAGATGATGACATGTAGATGACTTGATATAAAAATCGAAGCATTTTTGCCACTAAACAAATAGTTAAAAACTTCTTCAACTTGTACAAAAAGTTGCACGTGCTATTTCATAAGACAACATATTCAAAAACCTCAAAAGGAAAAAGGAAAAAAAATTATATAAATAATTGTAGGACGTTTTCCCATTTTCACAAGAAAAAGAAAAAAATATAGTGATGAATCCAGATCCAGCTAAGATTTGCTAGATCTGTAAATATAGGAGTCAGTCACATTTGACGAAATCCATAAAATCGACCGTTACATAATTTCAAATCCTAAAGGACCGTTAAAAAGGAGGGCTCCTCTTTACTTTTCCCCCCCGCTCGCCACCTCCATTCTCCCCTAATCCCAAAGCAACTTTCGATCTCCAATGGCGAGCAACACTTCAATAATGGAATCCAAGCCCTTACACCCACTTCACCAAATCGCAGAAACCCCAACTCACAAGTTGCTTCTCAAACAATGGCTGAAAGAAGAAGAACTCATCCTCAACAGAATCGCTACCAAAGAAACCCAAATCGATTCCGTCCGCAATGAAATCACCCAGCTTTACTGCATTTTCTTCCTGTTCCATTCGATTTCGCTTATGCTTTTATTCAGTGCTTCCTCCAAATGGGCTTCGAAAACCGGGCTTTGCCACCGTTCATGGATCCCGTCAATCTGTTCTCTCCTCTGTTCTATGGGTATCATTTGGGCTGTTAGGTACAAGACGGATACGGAGAGTCACTTAGAGAAACTGTTGGAGAGAGAGAAAGAGGATGGGAAATTACTGGCTAAGTGTGTGGAGGAGTTGAAGAGAAAAGGGATGGAATTTGATTTGTTGAAGGAAGTTGATGCTCTTAGGAGGGCTAAGAGTTTGAGGGTTGAAGCTAAGGTGGTTCGAAAATGGTCAGCTAGAGACTTTGTGTCTCTGTTTTTCTTCTCTGTTACGTGTCTGGTACTCGCTTTAACCAGGACCATTTTGTGTGGTTGACACTTGCAAGGTTTGAATTGCAGCAAAATGGGCTGTATCTTCTCTTTTAATACTCTACAACTGGAAAGCCTCAAGCTTTTAGCTTCTGACTTCTGTAATCATTTAGTAAAAGGAAATTAATTGTGGGCAAGGGAAGTTGCAGAATATACTGTTCTGCTTTTTGTTATTTGAGTTTTCTTTATGTATTTTTGCAGTTAAAAATGAATCTTATTTGGCAATGAATTCTCAACATTTTCAGCTTTGCTTGATTGTTTCTGCCTGTAGTTTCTGGTTATGGAACACTGCAAAGGTAGTTTCTTTAGAATGTTCCCTGCAACTCAATTCACCCTTATTTGTTTTTATAAGCTTTTCTGCTATTTTATCCATCAGATGCCTCGTACAATAGTGTAATACTTCAGTGGATTATGCATTTTATATTCATAGGGATCCCGATTCATGTCCCTACATAACTAGGAAGTAGAGCAGGAGAGAATAAAGAGTTCTCAATATCGTGTATCTTTTAGTCAGTGTGATTTTTTGAGTCTGAAGAATCAGTCTCTAAAAAAAAGGTAGGCATAGTAGTCCTTAAATCAACGAAAACCTATACACAAATGGTTGCAGAAAGAATCTAAAGAAAGATGACATCTTCAAAACAAACAAAAGGGTAAAAGTTTATCTGACGTCTCGCTTCATCTCTGACTGAAAATTAAAAGATTTCATCCACCCTCTCCAATGAAGTCTCTGAGAATTGGTGTTTCAGCACTAGATGATGAATAATTTGTATTAGGGGCAGTACTTGTACCCACTGATGAATTGTGCATTTGCGAAGAATGTTTGGTCATGAAGGTTGTTGCATCTTTAAATTTCCAGTCAATCAGGTATCCAGGTCTGGAAGTCACAGTGGCAACCTCAGCATCTCCTGTAAGCATTGCTATTACACGGGACATTGAGGGTCGTAACCCCGGGGGTGTTTGAGTGCATAGTAGAGCTATCCCTATTACTTTTTTCACTTCGTCTACATCAAATTCAGATAAATTTGCATCCACCAGCTCAGTTTCACGCTTGTTCTCATGAAGCTGCCAAGCCTGGAAGAGAAGTGTACACAGGAGTCAGTGATATGTGATGAATATGGTTAGAAGTTAGAACTATACAAAAAATGTAGCAACCACAGGACAACGCGATAAGTAAAAGTCTTAAAAGACAATAGAGATTAAAAGTAGAAAAGTACGAATTCAAAGGAATAATTTTCTTCCATTTCGTTAATCCAAGTGGTATATGTTGTGAATCTTCCATTCTTTACATTGAATAAAATGCCTGAAGCTAGAAGTTGCATAACGACTTGCAGCAGCAACCGATGAAAACACATATATTTCATTGTTCTAATGCTTTACTAAAAGCAAAGATCGAAGGGAAGGACTTTACCAACTCAAGAAGATAGATCTTGTCTTCTTCCAAGCTCTCATCAGAGTTTGGTCTACCACTGACAATCTCTAGAGCTACAACTCCGAAGCCAAACACATCAGCCTTCTCAGTCAGATGTCCACGCATGGCATATTCTGGTGCAAGATACCCTCTACAAAAAAAAACTAGCTTCACGAAACAAAACTATAGAAAAGGAGTCAAAGAATATGACACACTCAATTTTCAGGATCTAACATTGTGCCTGCAACACGAGTGCTTATATGAGTCTGTTTGTCATCGTAAAGTTTTGCCAATCCAAAATCTGAAATTTTAGGGTTCAGGTCTGCATCAAGCAGAATATTACTGGCCTTAACATCTCGATGGACAATACGGACTCGAGATTCCTCGTGAAGATATGCTAGACCCTTTGCCACTCCCAAGCAAATCTGGAAGCGTATTGGCCAGTCAAGATATAATGATCCTTTCTCTGGGCAATTGAAACCAAAATCTCAATATCATTCTATAAAATGAGAAGTATTTTTTTCTTCTCTTACTGAGGAAAGGCAGAAATTCCAAGATATTGTATTCATTATATTAGTACCAAATAATGCTTGATCAAGACTCTTGTTTTCAAGATACTCATAAACAAGTAATCGCCTGTCTCCCTCAATGCAGCAACCATAGAGTTTCACAAGATTACGGTGTTGTACAGCTGATATAGTAGCAATCTCTGCCACAAACTGACTCTTTCCTTGATGTGATGCCACAGACAATTGTTTAACAGCAACAATCCTGTTGTCCTCAAGTGTTCCCTATGGACCACAAAAGTTGGTTCAAGGTTCAGACAATTTCAATGAAATCATTTCCTGTTAGCCATAATTCATAGCAAAACTAAAGCAAACAAGAGAGTACAAGAATTTAGCCACAAAACATTTCTTGATGGCAGAGATATAGATTATTGGAGGCCACAATGTCTAGAAATGGAAATAAGGAAATCACTAAAGAGAAAGGCTTTGGAAAGAACAAGGTTATATGAGACACATGTGAGCTATAGGTGCAACAAACATAGCAATATTGGGAACACTAGTTACTTCAGAAATTCATATAGAAGAATGGATTGCCTTGTAAACTGGTCCGAAACCTCCCTGTCCAAGCTTATTGGAAATACAGAAGTCACCAGTCGCAGCTCGAAGTACTGAATAGCTGAAAGTGTAGGGTCTGGTTTCTATCCCCAGGAACTCTGCAGATTTGAAGAGAAACATATCCTTAATAAGATGAATCAGTTTCTGGGACTTATAAACTAGCACATACACTATACATTATTTCTTAAGCTGAAAAACTGTGGGAAATGCATGTGCTGACTCCTTGCATTACTCTTGCTCGGGTGATTCATGCGTTTTACTTTTAACTTCTGCAGTCTAAACAGAAGTGTCCAATCAAGAAATGCGCCACAAGCATTTCCAAGAAAACTTTAATCTTGAAATGGAAGTGTTGGTCAAGCGACTTTACTGTATGATCCAGTCTTAGACAGCTTCCAAGAAGCAGTTAAACTTAAAGATAGATGAATCACTTAAAAGTCAAAAACCGGAAGAACCATTATAGATCAGTTTGTGTTTCTTACCTTCATCCTCCAAAGCCTGTTGCTGTTTTCTTTTCTGAATTAGGTAATAGACTAAAAATAATGAAATCAAGCTTATGACTCCAACACCAACAACGATACCCACAATCAGGCCAGTCCAGTTCTTTTTTGTAGTAAAAGGCTGCTCGCTAGCAGGGGGAATTAAATCTGTAGAAAAGCTTGGCAGTCTCAGTTCAGCTTTGAATGCCTACATTTAAGAATCTAATTTATTTGTGGTTGAACAGATTGTCGGTAATTCATGGATACCTGAGGTTGCACTAATTGCTGATATGGAAGGTCCATATGTGCCTTGTATAGGTACACAGCAGGTCCCTTTTCCAGCCCAGAACAGATGTATCTCAAGATAATTTTCAGAAACCAGAGCTATAAATTGCCTTTGAACAGCTGCTAGGGACCCCCCAGCCTCCTTCCGTATGTCAAAATCTTTCAATCTCCGAATCCCCTGGAAAAGATAATCATCAAATCATTAAGTTAATTTACGATGTAAATGTAGGAAAGGAGAATAAAAGTTATTTCTACAAAACAAGTTTGTCGTGAGCAGTATTGAATGGCTCAAAGCAGTGAAATAAGGTTGCGATTTTCGTTTTGAGAAATGGTAAAAGAAAGGAGGACAACCTGTCTACATCAGTCAATCAATTAACTATGCATCAAAGTAGGAGTCGACTATATGAAACCTCAAAATCAAAAGTGATGTTCTTTTCAGACCCAAATAATTCCAATATTTCTTTGTTTATGAATAATATGTCTTCAACTCTTCAAGGCAAATAAGGACTTCTCTGTTTTAATAAAATAATGCATACCTGTACATAAACGTCAAATACTCGTCTTCCAAGACTATGCCAAGTTGGGGTATTTAAGATTTCTGACTCAGCAAACTGGAGGTTCACAGTGTAAATACCATTAACAAGGCCCAAGCCATAGTATCTAAGTGATCCAGAGGAAATTCGTGCAGTTTGAAAGAGTTGTGAATCCAAGGTGTTTGAAAACTGAGATGATTTGAAGCTTGTGAAGCTCTGATTTGGACGGTCAGAATACAGACCAGCATTACTAACAGCCCATCTCCCTGTACTAGTTATGAAATATGAGGCTGGACCCAGAATTTCATTGTCCCTCTCATACGATATCTGATTACTAGTCTTTATTGGAGGTCCCCCACATTTAATTGCAAAGCCGGAATCTGTGAATTATGAAAAATCACATGCATGAGAAGATAAGAAACCAGCAAAACAGTTAAATATTTGAGCACCAGAAGTAGATGCAAGCAAATATTACAGATTTGGTATATTACCTTAAATGGACGAATTCAACTAGATGGATGCTGACCACTCTTATATTGTGATTTATAGACACAAAATGTAGAACAAATATTTTCAAACTTATCCATACTAATGGAACCAGAAACTTGGAATAGGATTTTTATCATCAAGGAATTGTATGAAGCACTTACATCTCGGAGATCCTATATTGCAAGGGAAGTTCCGTTGAAGACAATCTAACCCCGAACGCAGATAACTGAAAACAAAAGGAACTATCAGTGTTAATTATAATTACAACATTGTTGACAACTAGATTTACAATTACCCATCGTCTGATTGTCCTATTGTAAGGCTGTTGCCAACTAAATTTCTGCAAGTTGTCAAATATCAGTGGTGGCATAATGATCACAGTGGAAACTGGGAAAAAAGAGTAGGCAAACCATTATGTAGATTTCAGCTATTTCTATACATACAATTGTTCAATTGGGTCATTGATCCAAGCAGGGATTCTTCCAGATAACCCATTGTATGATAAATCTCTACATAAAAAGAAGGGACGTTAAGCAACAACTAGCTAAACATTTCAGATATTTCTGCATCCAAAAAATAGAAAATGTTGAGCATTTATTTCATCTAAGAAATTATTACTAATGCAACTGTATGGCGATGGGATTAAGTAAGAGACAGAAGCTAGTGGGATCTAGAAAGATAGACAAAAAGTTTTTGAGCAATAACAATCTAGTAAATGCCTCTTTTTCTCTTGAAGTTGTCGAAATTACTCATAATAAGATATTGGCTACAATTGCAAAGGTCTTATCAATAAAAATTCAATTTATCTGTGATCTAGGCATAAGTAGCAATGCCTGAGCCATCAATGAGATACCACTCTGGAAGGGTTCAAATAAATCCATTCTTTATTGACCTGACCAGGAAAGAAGAAGTTTTTCCTCGATCTCTCTCAATTAAAGCCTTATATCCACAGAAAAAAGTTGCTAGGCATTTTTATTTTTTCCTATTTTGACTTCTATGAAGCTTCTTTCTTTGCTACAATTGATAAAAATCGTTGTTTTAGATGATGCATATGTAGAAAGCCTATGTTGCTACAGCCGCATGAAATTACAGCATCAGATAATATTTGAAGGAGAGATATTTGGAAATTTTAAACTGATGAACAAACTATTTTTTACACACTGACACAATAACATGCTAGATATTATGAACCAATCTAGTAAAGTCACTGGTATTTATATCCTATCATGCATTACCCAGTAAGGAAGGTGCTGAAATCACTTATAACAGAAGTAGTCCTTCATTCTTCTTAAAAAGATAGTGAAAATGTTGAAAGTTCAGCATATTCATTCCAACATAAAGGATATCATATAAAAACAAGAGTTACTCACATAGTCTGGAGAGACCGTCCCTTCTGAGCTGGCAGGGCGCCTGTTAGCTTGTTATCACCAAGAAACCTGATGATTAAAAAGGGCATTAGCACATGAAGATACCGTTAAGGTGGTACCAAATATAAGCAAACATTAGATCATTACAGGTGAGTCAGCGAAATCAGATTGAAAAGTGCAGCTGGAATACGCCCAGACAAATTGTTGAAGCTCAAATCCCTGAGAAGAAGATAAATAAAAGTCAGCCCAAATGAGTAGTAATTAATGAATGAGGGCTCCAACGTCTTCCACGTGAACTCAAGTTGAATATAGTAGCACGACAATGTTAAAAGTGCTTACGCTCACATATCATGCCATAAGTGAGATAATTAAAATTCAATCCAAAATACCGAGGTCTTAAAATGTCTATAAAAACTCACAGTAGAGACAGGCTATGATATTCTCGCATATTACTTGGGATGGAACCTGAAATATTGTTATTCCGTAAAACCCTGAAAGTACCGAATTTAGTTGTGTCAGGGAAGAAGAAGAAAAGAAATAAAATGTCAAGCTTTGTAGCATGTGGTACTGTGTCATATTCCTTACAGCTTGCTGAGAGACTTCATATTCCTGAGGAAGTCAAAAGAAGAGCTACCATTGGATAGATCACTTACTCTCCTGTTAGTTATGCAGAAGAGGAAATATCAGATTCTGCTAAATGTAAAAGTGGATTCTAAGCTATGAACAAAATGATAATAACAGTCGCAAAAACTCACAGGTCGGTCAGAGAGGTTAAGTTGGAAAAGGAAGCTGGTATTGGACCATCAAAAGCATTTCCTTGGAACCTCCTGTGGCAATAGAAAGATCAGTCACAGACTATGCTAGAGAGGAGATGCAGTAAGGAACATTATCGCAATGCTGCACTGAAAAAGTAAGACACCATTCTCGAAACAATTTGAGAATAACAAACTGGACATAGTTCAAATAATTGTGATCTTACAGTGTGGTAAGCTTTGACCAATTATTTCCAATGAAATCAGGAATCCTCCCTGTAAAATCATTATCTGAAGCCCACCTGAAAGCACAAATAGTTTAGTTTCCCGTGAGATTTACTACACATATATGTCTAAGTAGAAATTGGGAAGCTAGTGAAGGAGCATGTGACAGAGAGCTCTTACACTGTGACCAAGTTCTGCAGTTTCGCAAACGTCAATGGTATTGGACCACTAACACCAGAACTATCGAGATAACTATGCAAGGAAACAATATTTCTTCAGAGAAGATAAAAATTATTAAAGAAGGCACTATTCAAGAGAAAATAACTTATATAACTTAAAGTTAGCTTTTCATTGACCACATTTGATGTTCTTTTAAGTGGCTATCACATGCATGTTATATATTTTGTCAAGCATGAGATTTGTTGGAGAAAATTCAGTACGCCATAGATGCCTATGTTTGATAGAAACTCTCATGTCTTCATTAGAATATGTTTCATCTTTTGGCATCTTTTATGTTTCAACTGTGTGCTATCTATTTCATGAAATATTATTCTCCCTTCATATCTAGTTCTGTATGTTGCGTGTTCAGATTAGGATTTTAAAGCTTAAAATATATAAAATGGAAAGAGAAACGAGAAGGATACTAATGTACGTAAAATGAGAGTTTTATGTGTTGTCCATGTCGTACTCTGCATTTTCTGAAAAATCAATGACATGCTACACATAATAAGAACCTAATGTAGCTTATCATACTCGTGACAGAAGGCACGATTACTTCATCAGAAAATCAGAGAAGGATTAAACACCTATACCCCCTCCACTGGCACAAAAATAGAACAAGAAGAACAGCAGATTGCTTTAGATCATTGGCAGAATAGTTAAATGGTTGACACACACCAAGAAGAAACGATCCTGACAACCTCCTGCTCTATCTGGTTACAATTTTCTGGCCTTGCATTTGATGTATAAACAACACAGTACCATCAAAATTCAACATGATATTGATAAACAAATAGTATAAATTCCATGCAAAATGTAAAACTCTAACAAGATTTTGACATGGTAACGTTTTTAAGATGTCAAAAGATGCATCACAACTTACATTTGTATCAGTTTTGTTAAGTTTCCAAGCTCTGAAGGCAGAGGTCCAGCGAAGTTGTTTGTACCAAAACTACTGCAGCAAAGTAAAATTGCATCTTTGAGGTGAATAAAAAACAGAAGTGATGAAGACTGATGCTCTTCGTAAATCAATGATATTATCACAGAACCAAGGGTCCAAAGGACATAAGGAGAACATACAATGAACTTAAGTCGGTCAACAATCCAAGTTCCTTTGGAAGCTCCCCTGACAATGCATTGATGTCAAAGGCTCTGGAGACGCCAAATATTAAAATTATTCCAAACATGTTAACACCAAAAATATCACGTGTACAAACAACTGAAACAGAGTAGACTTACAGACGTTTCATCCGAGTCAGCTTGCCAATGGATGGAGACAGTGTGCCTGTTAAGTAATTGTGGCCCAAATTGCTGCATTTTGTAACAAAAATATCAGAAGTGGGGAGATCAAACATGAACAGTCTAGGATAAAACTACACATAGGAGGAAACGAGTACAGATCATCGAGGAAGGTAAGGCTCCATAATTCATCTGGAATTTCACCCCAGACGTCCAATTCATAAACTCTCCTGTAAAGAATGATTGAAAAAGAGAAGTCAGAGTTGCATGGTAAGTAAATATACCGAACACTACATCCTATTGGATACAAGAAGAAGAAGAAGAAGAAGCAGCAGTACATATATGTAAACACAAATATAAGGCGAAATACACAGATGGCTGAGGCTTCCTTAACTTGGCTACAACTGTAGCTTAGCTAACTCAACTTGAGGCAGGCTTGTTCTTACTAGATACTTCAACCTCACTCAATGTGTGTCTACTAACTACAAATCGCAAACATTTAAAAGATGTCTCTCTATATATATGTATATACATTAAAAGGAGATCAACGTTTTAGATTGTCTCTTTAAAAATGTCAATAAAGTGAATAACACGGGGAAAAGAGTGGCTTACAAGCCAGTGATATGACAAAGAGTTCCATTGTTGGCAGAACAATCACATTTGATGGCGGGATTAAACTCTAGGATTGAAGTTGAATCAATGGCATCTCCGCTGCATAACTCACCACTAATGTTCCAATGATTTGTTGCAGAAATCCCCCATTTTTGGAAGATGGAGTTCAAAGCACGGGCTGCAGTAGAGTGGACAAAATTAATCCATGAAATCATTACCCGCCCAAACCTGTCCATTTATTAGCTCAGCTCATTTCATCCTATGAAAGTTTGGACAATATCTATCCCACATTGATCAATGAAAAATCTTGTCAAAATATACTCAAAAACACATTTTATAAGTTATACATAGTTATAATAAAAAATAAATAAAGCAACAAAAACTTAGTAGGAATTGGACGGGTTAAGTTTTGACATGCATTTTAGTTCATTTCAATTCAAGTAACTTTTAGGCGGACCCATAACCTGCTCATTTATTAACTCAACCTATTTTAACCCACCCAAATGCAGCCTGCCCATTTGCGCTGCAACATCAATAACTTACAACTATAAGAATCTAATTGATGATGCCATGATAAAAAAAATATCACAAAGTTGATGTTGTAAACAAGGGACTAATGCTACTCCCTTAGTCCATTTTTTGAAATTGAAAATATTTTTTAAAAATAAAATTTTGAAATTGAAAATATTTTTTAAAAACAAATTTGAAATATTTTTTTTTTTGGAGGGGGGCTGGGTAGGAGGGGGGTTGGGGGGGTCAAGGGTAGGGGTGAAAAAAATAAAATTTTGAAATTGAAAATATTTTTTAAAAA